GGATGCCGGGAGCCACAGCCACTCAGTCTTGGAAGGGTTGAGCCTGAGCCTGTTCCTCCCCATCCAGATCCGCACAGCCTCCAGGCACTGGGACATCACTTCAAGGGCATCGTTGGGGTGGCCTGGGGTGGAGATGTACAGCTGGGTGTCATCAGCGTACTGGTGGTATCTCACCCCAAAGCCACGGATGATCTCGCCCAGCGGCTTCACATAAATGTTGAACAGAAGGGGCGAGAGGACCGACCCCTGAGGCACTCCACATATAAGAGGCCTTGAGGTCGACCTCTGCCCCCCTGCCAACACGAACTGCGACCGGTCGGAGAGAAAGGAGGAGAACCACCGTAATACGGTGCCCCCCATCCCCAACTCTTCCAACCGGTGCAGCATGATACCATGGTCGATGGTATCAAAAGCCGCTGAGAGGTCTAACAGGACCAGAACAGAGGAACAACCCCTGTCCCGAGCCCTCCAGAGATCATCAACCAACGCGACCAATGCCGTTTCCGTGCTGTGTCCAGGCCTGAAACCCGACTGGAACGGATCTAGATAGGATGTTTCCTCCAAGAATTGTGGAAACTGTCGCGCGACCACACTCTCAACAACCTTCGCCAGGAAGCGAAGATTGGAGACAGGACGATAGTTGGCCAATATTGCCGGATCCAGGGACGGCTTCCTGAGGAGAGGCCTCACCACCGCTTCTTTCAAGGCGGCGGGGAAGTGACCCTCACTCAACGAAGCGTTGATAACACCCTGGAGCCAGCCTCGTGTAACCTCCCGGGAGGCCAGTACCAACCAGGAGGGACACGGGTCCAGTAAACATGTGGCCGCACTAAGTCTCCCCAAAATCCTGTCCACATCATCTGGAGTCACAGCATCAAACTCCTCCCAGGTAACATTCTCAAGACTATTCCTCGTCACCCTGCCCTGATCTACCCAGTCAGAGTCCAAATCCCCCCGGATCTGAGCGATTTTGTCATACAGGTATTGTCCGAAATCCTCCGCCCTGCCTTCCAAGGGATCCTCCCGCGCTCCCGGATGGAGCAGGGAGCGGGTTACCCTGAACAGGGCGGCTGGACGATTCCCTGATGACGCAATAGAGGCGGAAAAGTAGTTAAACTTTGCTGTCTTTATCGCCACTAGGTAGGTCTTAATATGCGACCTTACCAGTGTTCGGTCAGATTCAGCGAGACTGGCCCTCCAACCGCTCTCTAGGCGTCTTTTCCGGCGTTTCATCTCCCTCAGCTCCTCGGTGAACCAAGGAGCCGCGAGGGATCGACACCGGGTCAGAGGCCGCAAAGGCACGACTCGATCCAAGGCCCCACCAGCCGCCCGATCCCAGGCAGCTACCAGGTCCTCGTCCGAGTCGTGTGCCAGATCTTCAGGAATTGGCCCAAGCTCTGTCTGGAACCTATCAGGATCCATCAGGCGCCTGGGGCGGATCCATCTAATTGGGTCCGCCTCCCTGCGGCGGGGTGTAGCGGTTCGAAGGTCCAGACGAAGGAGTGAGTGATCTGACCATGACAAGGGTTTCATGTCTATATCCCCTATAATAAGACCACTCAACCACTGGCCAGAGACAAAAATCAGGTCCAGCGTGTGTCCCCCCCTGTGAGTGGGGCCATGAACTAACTGGGTCAGGTCCATGGCCGTCATGGAAGCCATGAACTCCCAAGCCATCTCTGACGTTTCACCAACAGACGGCAGATTGAAATCACCCATGACCATAAGCCTGGGTGTATCAACTGCCACCGTGGCTATCACGTCGAGTAGCTCGGGCAGGGCCGTTGCCACGCGGCAGGGAGCCAGGTACGTAAGCAGCAACCCCATCTGAACCCCATGACCCCATCTCACAAAGAGGGACTCACATCCGGCAATCTGTGGCACAGTGGTCTCCCTCGGACACAGACCTTCGTTAATAATAACCGCCACCCCCCGCCCCTCCCCTGGGCCCTCGGCTGATGGAATGCTCTGAAGCCTGGTGGACACATCTCAACCAGAGGGACCCCTCCCTCCGGGCCCAACCAGGTCTCCGTAATACCCACCAGGTCCGCTCCCCCCTCTTGAATAAGATCGTAAATGAGGGGGGCCTTATTTACCACAGACCTGGCGTTGCACAGCATCAGCCGGAGGCCCAGGTCCTGAGTATCTGAGCCACCTAATATCCGAGGGGAGCCTTGAGGACCGGGGCGTGCAATCGCTCTCAAGTAGCGAGTGCGCACCCCCGGCACAAGATAAGGTCCTCTGCTCCCGCCATATCTGCCCCTCCCATCCACCGTGCTGATGACATCCCCAATCCCTCGTCCTGCGCCCTCCAAACCGTTACCCTGTGCCAGGCTGGGCCCTGACCTAGGTGGATTACCCCCCCCATCCCCTTTGGTCGCCCTCCCAGTTCCCCTTAAAAGATTATTAAAAACCCTAATTAAAAAACCCCTCAATCCCCGCTTTAAAACATGCCACCTCTCGGGGCTCCAAAGCCCGTCCTTAAGGTAGGCCTTCGATAGAGTGGAAGGCCATCGCCGCGAGAGGGGGACATCTCGCAGCGCAAGCAAATCTGCCGAGGTATAAGCCATACAAGTATGATGAGATGGAAAAGGGGAACCTTGGATGTCAGCAAGATTTAAAGATAGTCATTGAGGTGAGAGATGGCAAAAGAGGCTGGCCAGGATGAAGCTGGGGCCCCTTCACTCTCTCACAGTGATGGGGCGACCAGATCAGATGGTTGCAATGCAGGCGGATGGCCACAGCCGTTCTCTCACCGCGGCTGGATGTAAAAGGCCAACAATAGTCACTCTCTCCCTGCAGATGGAGCAGCAGTCCTTGACCTGGACTCTCAGCTTCTCCCTCCAGCCTGCAATCTCTCCTCCCCCGAGCCAAGGCCTAAAGGTGGAAATCGGGCGGCAGGAATAAACTAGCCAGCAGCAGAAGGAGATAGAGAACAAACATAAAAACATAAAAATCCAGGAGGGTGATAATAAAGTCCCAGAGTCAGTAGTGATGGAAAAATGGGCCGACCTAATAGAGAGTCCAGGTAGCAACGGGGGGAGGCCATTTTCATGGGGGGTGGGGGCGAATCCAAGAGGGAAACCAGATGGTAATTGGCAATCCCCCTCTATCACTCCCCAACTCCCTTCGATGTTCCGGGCCAAATCACCCCCAATAGTCCTGCCCGTTTTCTCTGAGCAAATTCTGCCACGATCTTCCCAGGTCTCGGTCCATGTAGGGGGTTTTCAGGCGCAGCTGACCGCTGGGCCATACACCCCGAGCCTCAAATCTGGGCTAAATAACTGTTTGAAGCAGCCAACAGGCCTCCGAGTCTCCGGGTGCCGGGTCCATCGCCTTCCCGCACCCCCCCTCCCCCGGCAGCTCAGCTTTTTTCCGGCCACCGTCAAATCGAAGGGAGGCTTGGGTCGCTATAGATGATTCCCTCACCTCCCTCAGTTCTCCATCCGGCTCAGTTAGACTCCGCAGACCACCTTAACTCCTTCACCTCCTACAGTCGGTCCGTAAGATGAAATGCCCGATCTCCGGGGCTCCGCGGCTGTGGAGTCATTGTGGAGGCCGCCATTGCCGCTGCCCTCCTTACAGCGCTCCGATTACGTCTCCTCGCTGTAGCTCTGCCATCCCAGGGCCAATCCCGATAAGGGATGGCACATCCGAACCATCAGACCATTGGCATGCTGAACGTGGGGCTCAAGATCACTAAAACAGCCTCCGACGTTTCCAAAGTTCTCCTTTTCCCCATCAACCTCAACAGCGAGCCCCTCGGAGGTCCGGCATCTTACGCATGCGCAGGGATTTACCTGAAGATTTTAAAAGCCTCTGACGATCCTAGCTGAGTTGCGCGATCATCAGAGGCTTTTTTTTTTTTACTTTTAAAAGCATTTTTTCGGCCAAAGAGGTTGCAGGAAAAAATGCTTTTAAAAGTAAAAAAAACAGTCTCTGATGATTACACAGCTCAGCTGGGCATGGGGGTGGGGGCAGGGATTTTTGCTACTGGTTCTCTGAACCACCTGCCGCCATCACTACTGGATCGGGCAATCTGGTCTGAACTGGGTGCATTTAACCCCTGGTAGAACCTATTATCACTAAAAACACAACACAGAATCCAGGCTACCAGTAGGCAACATTTACATTTAAATCTTTAATATAATTCATAGAATTATTTCTTTAAAGCTCTGTGAAGTACCCCTTTTGACTCTGAACACTGTTAGGGAAGAGGTCATCCACATTTCTGGAGACACGGTATTCCACAAGGTGGGAAGTGTCTAAACAAGAAATTTCAATTCAATTTCTTATGCATTTGTGGAGGGAATCTTAATATCTTGGCTCGAAACAACCACACCAGATGGGACAGTTCTGTTTGAAGGACCCATAGAGTATGTAAAGCAGCACTTTAAGAGGTTCTTTAGTAGCCATGGAAATGCAAGAAATGGATGCTCCAAGACTTTGCCTAAACAAAAAATGACAGTTACTATAAATGCAATAAATAAATAATATATCTGGTCTGACACCAAACACAGTGGGCTGGATTTATCATAGTGGGGCTGATTCATATCAATCATTCTGCAGACCCAAGTGCATTTTTTTTGTTTTTAGTTGGAGGAACTTTGAAAGAAGATATTGCTATGTATAAACAACATTCTCTATTGCTTGAAGTCAGGACATGAAAATAAGCAATTTTTGGAATAACTTGTTTTGATGCTGGAGTGCTACTAATGAATTTATGAACAATACGTTTATAAGAGGTTATAATATTGTGGCTCATCAGACAGTAACTTTTTCTTCTTCTTCTTCTTGTCTTCAGAGAGGGGCGGCATACAAATTGAATTAATAATAATAATAAATAATAATAATAGCTTTCCTTTCTGGAATAAACTGTAATATGGGGGAAAAGAAACACTTCATAATAATTATTCCCTCTTTTTCTTTCTCCAAAATGCCAAGAAAAAAATTTACACCCAAATGTAAATATGTGAAAAGAGAAATGTGAGGCAACTCACCATGATAGATCTTTCATAATAATCACTCTCTTTATCAACATTTACTGGATATCCATTTAAAAGCCAAATAAAAGTCAGGTCTAAAGAAGGATCATGGGATGCAAGACATTGCATGGTAGCATTCAATCCAACAATGACATCAACATTAGTTGGTGCTAATGTTATCCTTGTTGCAGCTTTGCAGTTAACAGAAAAAATGTGGTTATATATTAGCAAGTCATTAAATATGCAACAATTGAGGCTCTGATCTACTTAAAACCTGAAAAATATACAACTTTACTATGGATGACTGTATTTCAATAGCAAAAGAGATATAAAACGTTTTTAAAATTTGTGATTGTTTTGGTAGGTCTTTCTTTTCTTTGCAAATTCTGATACAGAAATGGTTTTTACTTAACCTTTCTTTCATGAATAGTATATACAGTTCTAGGCCAATCTTAGGGTCAAAGGAAAAAATTATGGCAACAACCTGTGTCGAAGATTATTCATAAGAGAGCTATTTGGGGACCAACCCAAATAATATACCCTATTTGTATCCTACTGATGAGAGAATGATCCAGCGGTGAGAGTATCATGTGAATTTATCATGCAATTACCAATTTCTTGGCAGGAATTTCTTTAGAATAATGTTCCAGATCACAGCTGAGACTAGAAGCAGCAAATACAAGCAGCAGATATTTAAATTTTTGCAAGAGGTTACTTCTAGAAAATTAATTTTCATGGGGACTTTAATAAAGTGTGGGTGAAAATTTGCATTTGTGTCAATAAGGGTAATATTTCTGCAATAAAAATGTAGGCTGGATTATATTCAAATCCTCCCCAAACCAAATTTGTGGTGTAAAGTCATGTTAGTACCATGTAAATTTACTGCAGGGTACATAAGTGAATAACAGGTTGAGCGTCTGCAATGTAATTAGTATAACATGGAAGTTCAGAATTAAATGAATTTATCTATAAATAAAATACTCAAATTGCATTGAATACATGAAATAAATTCAATTGCATTGAATACAATGCAAATTGCATTGAATACATAAAATTCTATTCTTAGTACTATAAAGAATGTGCATATTTCCTATTCCTCAATAATATTTAAAGTAACTTCTATGAAATACTCCAACATTATTTGAATAATGGTGCTATAAACAATCACTTGTTAAATGGTTAGGTGCCTAAGATCTGAATTTAATCATGTTTAAAATTATGTGACTCAGATCTAGCTTAAAGTTATATAAAATACTATTGTATAATGCTATGTGTTATTCTGAAAAAATAATTATATCATTTCTATTTGACTAGTGAAGGGATGTCAAACACAAAGTCCGTGGGCTGGATCCAGCCTGCGAGGTGATTAGATCCGGCCCGCGGAGCTGCCCTGGAAGCAGGGAATGATTGGCTCGCAGTGCCTTAGCTCAGCCCAGGCTGATCGGGTGCCGATTTACAAGCTGCTGGTAGCCATCTGGGCCAGAACACAGCCAGCCTTAGATCCGCAGGGCCACCCTGGAGCCCACAAGGGGCCACCCCAGGCCCGCCCCCATGGCGCATGCACAGGGGGTGGGGCTGAAGTGGCAGGGCAGCCACTAAGTGGCAGGATCAGATCTAAGCCAGGCATATGAAACAACACTATTTGTGTCTCAGGTTCGCCCCAGACATAGTGAGGGACTGGCTACCCCTGCCAGATGCCCCCCCCTCAGAGCACACACAGGAGGCAGTGAGCGTGTGAGGGCCGAAGGTGTCTGGCAGGAGCCCGCCAGCTGAGGGGCTCTGTAAAATGCACAGTGAGGGTGGGTCTGGGGCGCTGTGACTGCCAAGATGGCCCTAAGCAGCAGGCAGAGGCATAGGGGAGGAGGCACATTATTCAGCCTGTTAGAAATGCTGGGCAGCCATCTACCCACATGCTCCATCCCACAGTATGTCTTTGCTGCTATGAGGGGAGGGGAGGCAGGTGGCGGGGTGGGGTGGAGCCATCCAACTTCATCTTCTAACTGCGCTGCACATGTGGGGTGAGTCTTAGACCTGCTGCTCCACTCGTGAAGGCCCTAGCAAACGGGAAAAGCAGGGAGCTTGAGAGAGAGGGAGGGAGGGAGGGAGGGGGGGGAGATGTCCTGGGTGCTTTTTGTAGGTTTTTCAGCACAACTTTGCAGGTTGCAGTGAGGAAGAAAGGCTGGCTTGTGAAAGGGAGAACTAGGAGCTATAAAGGCTTGTGGTTTATGGCAATCTGATGTTCCAGAGACCAATGCTATTCCAGCCTTGAACATATCACATGATCAGGGATCCACTCTCTGATACCAATGAAAATGCCTCAATGTCCACCAAAATCCCTCCAGGTTCTGTATTAAAAGACTGTCAGTTCATCTCTTTGCCCCTCTTCTACTGTCAATTCAACTTTACTTTGCTCCTGAAATTCAGTGCAATGTAGACCTTCTCAAAATCCATCCAAACTTCTCAAAGCAAAAATAAACCTCCTACAAAGCCCAAGTGCCCAGTAACAATTGACTCTCCCTCCCTTTGCTATCATGAAAAAAATGAATTGCTGCTTGACTTGCTGAATGCAGGATCCAGTGTGGAAGGAAAAGGTTTGGCTGGCAGAGGGCTATCCAAACAAAACATTTGAGCATGGAAGAAGGGACAGGAAAGGAGAAAGGGAAAGAAGAAAGACAAAAAGAAGAAAAGATGGGAAGAGAGTAAGGAAGGAAAAATAAGGAAAGAGGGGAAGGAAGAAGAAGGAAAAATGAAGAGGGAAGGAAAATGAAAAGGAAGGAAGGAAGGAAGGAAGGAAGGAAGGAAGGAAGGGAGGGAGGGAGGGAGGGAGGGAGGAAGGAAGGAAGGAAGGAAGGAAGGAAGGAAGGAAGGAAGGAAGGAAGGAAGGAAGGGAGATTATAATGAGAATGAGGGAAGGTCTCAGGGAAGTCCTGCCTTAGCACTGGGCTGCCACAGGTTCCCCCACATGAGTTCCATGTCACACCCACCATGGCCACGTCCCCCTTAGCCCTCTGAGGTCAAACAAGACCCTGATGCAGCCCTCAATGAAATCGAGTTTGACACCCCTGGACTAGTGCAAATTGTACTCCAATACAAATAATTTTTATTATGTCTCTGACATAAAATATTCTTCCTCTCACTTTCCTCTACAAATAAATATCTATGTACTTGATTTTAACTTTTAATATATGAGTAACTATGCATCTAAAGAAGCAACCTATAGTTCAAGAAAGCTTATGTGATAATAAAAGTTCCAATTGTCACAAGACTCTTTGCTGAATGTTTTAGATCAGGGTCCCCCAATCCCTGGGCCACAGCCCATTATCGGGCCATGGCCTCTTCAGAATTGGGCCATGTGTGTGGCTGGCTGGAGTGTGCGTGTACAGCTTAACTTGCATAAGCAGCAGGCCAGCAGGCACTCATGTACATGTGCAACAGCCCTCGCACAAGTCAAGCTGCATGCCTATGCGTCAGCCCGTCACTTGCACAAGGGCTGCATCCACGCTTTTATACACCAGCCCACCACTCACACAACCCAATTCCCCTCTCCCCCTGCAGACGGGCTGCCAAACCGCAATGGTTGTGGACCTCTGCTTTAGATTAATACAGCTACTCTTCTGTAAAGTGTAAGCTCAGTGATCCACATACAAAAAGTCAGTAATCAGAATCAGAGACAAGATATAAGAAATATATATTATTTTGTTATACACAACTAAATTAATAGGCTTATCAAATTGACCCAGATTTATTTAGAAAATTGAAAAGGATTTCAACATATGCAATCTGAAGTCCATGCTTTACTTAAATTTGAGAATGTAGAGAAGTTTGAGAATTACCTGTGACTATAAGAGCAGAAGAACTGTTAGCTTTTCCTTTGTTGTTTTCCACAAAACAGGTGTAATTGCCTGCATCTACTGCTGTAACATTAATAATTTCTAGGCTGCCATCATACCATATATGTATCCTATTGAAAAAGAAATTGTTAAGAAACTTGACAATCAACAATATAATAATAAGAAAATGTGGATGGAAATGGAAGTATGGCATTACACATTACACATTACACTCCTGTCTATTACAGTCTGTTCATACCTGTGCTGCTTAACTCCAGGAAAGAGGGAGAGTTACTCAATTGCCCAAATAGAACAAACACAACTTCCAGTATTACACAGCAGTTCAATGGTGGCAAAATATAGGCAACCATATAGCTTATGCTGAACTAGTATGACTGGAGAAAAAAACCCTTTATAGGAAGCAGATGGCACCAATAGGTGTATGAAAAAAATGCCACTATTTTAAAGGTTGTATTGCCCATAAGGAGTAGACTCCTTAAAATACTTGTACACTTTTTTAGATTCATTCAAAAGCAACCACCGTCTTGAATGACAAACAGATAGGGTTGCGTTCATTCATTTCTTGTCACTCTGCGTATCTTTGTGCAATGAATAAAGGTCAAAAAATGGAAAGAGAGACACATAACTAAGGCAGGATATCAGGAGATAGCCAGAATCTGCAAAGACGAAGTCAGGAAGGCAAAGGGTCAGAATGAACAAAGACTTATAACAAAAGTCAAAGATAACAAAAAAAGTTTCTTCCAACATATAAATAATAAGAAAAAAATCAAGGAAAAAGTTGGTCCACTAAAGAGAGAAGATGGCATGGAAGTAACAGGCAACAGAGAGAAAGCAGAACTGCTTAACTCATTCTTTGCATTGGTCTTCACGCAAAAAGAAACTATAGCCCAACCTAACAGAAACATAACTGTAAAAAAGAGACTGGAAATAAAAGTTAAAATAAGCAAAAAAAATAGTAAGAGAACACCTGTCTGATCTTGATGAATACAAATCACCAGGACCTGATGGATTACATCCCAGAGTTCTAAAGGAGCTGGTCATCTCAGAACCACTGCACCACATCTTTCAAAAATCCTGGAACACTGGGGAACTACCAGAGGACTGGAAAAGAGCTGATGTGGTTCCCATCTTCAAAAAAGGAAAAAAAAACAGACCTAGGAAACTACAGATCAATCAGCCTAACATCAATACCCGGGAAGATACTGGAAAAGATAATAAAAAGTCAGATCTGCCAACACCTAGAAACGAGTAAAGTAATAACTAGCAGCCAGCATGGGTTTGTTAAAAACAGATCATGCCAAACCAATCTTATTTCATTCTTCAACATAGTGATTAAATTAGTAGACCAGCGAAATATTGTGAATATAATTAGACCTCAGCAAGGCATTCAACAAAGTAGACCACAACCTACTTTTTGGTAAGCTAGAAAAAAGTGGGATAGATAGCTTCACCACCAGATGGATTCACAACTGGCTGACAAACCATACTCAATGAGTAGTCCTTAATGGGTCTAAGTCTACATGGAGAGAAGTAAGCAGTGGGGTGCCACAAGGTTCCATCTTAGGCCCAGAACTCTTCAATGTCTTCATAAACGACTTAGATGAGGGAATCAAAGGGGAATTTACCAAATTTGCAGATGATACTAAGCTGGCAGGAATAGCTAACATCCTAGAAGATAGGCTCAAGATCTAGATGGATCTTGACAGACTTGAACACTGGGCCCTATCTAACAAAATAAAATTCAATGTAGAGAAAAGTAAAGTCGACAATTATGGCCGAAAGATTAAAAAAATTCTTAGAAAATTTTATCCACTCTGATCAAAATGGCTTTCTGCCCAGACGATATATAAGAAATAACATTAGGATTATATTAGATATTATGGAATACTATGAGCCTCACAATGAAAAACAGATGGTACTAATATTTGCTGATGCACAGAAAGCATGTGATAATGTTAAATTCATTTTAAATCAACTAAATTCATTTTAAATCAACTAAAGTATATGGAATTTGGGAAAAATTTATAAGGATGTGCAGAGCAATTTACTTGGAACAAGAAGCAAAAGTGGTAATTAATGGGGAAATAACAAAGAACTTCCAAATTTAGAAAGGCACAAGACAGGGCTGTCCACTATCGCCCCTACTGTTTATTTTATCGTTAGAAACATTAAATAGAGTAATTCGAGAAGATATTCAAATTAAAGGCTTGAAGATCAGAAATGAAATTTTTAAATTGCAAGCATTCGCAGATGATGTCATCTTTATTATTGAAGAGCCAATGCAATTGGGCGTACGATTATGGAAGTACTGGAGGAATATGGGGAGGTAGCCGGCTTAACGATAAATAAGGACAAAACGAAAATGTTAGTAAAAAACATGACAGAGGAGCAAAAAAGAGATATAGAGGGAAAATTGATATTCAGATAGTTTAAAAAATTAGATATCTAGAGATTCAATTGACATCAAGATGCGTGACGCTTAAAGAGGAAAATTACAATAGACTAATTGAGCAAATTAAAATTGATTTAGAAAGATGGGGAAGATTGCAACTCTCCTTTATGGGGAGGATTGCTACGATTAAGATGAACATGCTACCCAAAATTTTATATTTATTTCAATGTATACCAATCCGGCTCAAAAATGATTTATTTACAAATTTGAATAGAATCATAGCAAAATTTATATGGCAGGGCAAAAAGCCAAGAATTAAATTAAAATTATTACAAGATGCAAAAGGAAGAGGAGGATTTGGCCTTCGAAATTGGAAAAAATATCGGCAAACTGCAACCCTGGTTTGGGTAAGTGATTGGCTACACCTCAAAAATAGAAGACTGTTGACACTAGGACATGACCTTCAAATAGGGTGACACGCTATCATCTGGAAAGAGAAGTATAAGGTTCACCAGTACTTCCAAAGGCATTATATTAGGCGGGCACTTTTAGATATTTGGATCAAGACCAAGAGAAGTAATTATATAGACATCCCCAATTGGATATCAACAGTAGAAATGCTCACATATCCTAATCTTCTCAAAATGGGAGGGGCTATTACATATAAAGAATTACTAAACATGAACAGGGAATTAAAATCAAGGAAGGAATTAAGTTAAAGTTAAATCAAGTTAAAGGAAGAAGGAATTGAATTAAAATGGTGGATATACCTACAAATACAATCCAAATTTACAAAGGATAAAAAAGAGCGAGATATAAAATTAGAATCATTAGAACTGGATAAAATTTTACTAAGCACAGAGGGAAAGGCCATAAAAAAACTGTACCACTATTTATTAGAACAAGATATGCTTAAAGAACAAGTTAAGGAGACGATAATAACTTGGAGTAGATGTTTTGGGTACAGTATTGATTTGGACAATTGGCAAAATCTATGGGGAAAAATATCAAAATTACACTGGCGGCTTCTTATAAAGAAAACCTGTATAAAATGTTCTACAGGTGGCCCTTCCCACCCACAAGATTGGCAAGAATTAGTAAAAAAATACTCCCCAATTTGTTGGAAATGTGAGGTGGAACTGAGGTCATATTACCATATGTGGTGGGAGTGCTCAAAAGCCAAACGTTTTTGGCAGCAAAAAAGGAGCTGGTTAGAAGAGACGTTAATGGTCAAAATAGAATCCAGAATTTTTCTTACTGGGCATGACAGATGGCAAATATGACAAAAATGTAACCTATTTAATATTGCATATACTTACCACAGCAAGACTAGCATTTGCTCAAAAATGGAAGTGTAAAGAAATACCCTCAGAAGAAGAAGTAATACACAAAATTTACAGCTGTGCAGAGATGGACAGACTTACTTTAGAACTCAAAGTGAATCAAAATACTATGAAGTCTGGAATAAATTTTATAACTGGTTAGATAAGAGGAAAAATGCCAAAAACAAAGGATAACAAATATCTGGAAATGTACAGTATATATCAATGTATATTAATATATCAATGCATATTAAATTTGTGAATGTAAATACTTGCATAGTTGATTAGGAAATAAAATACTGTATACTTGATATATAATGAAGTAGGAGATATGTAAATTTGTATATAGAGCAAGGAATAGACTACTTATTAACTTGATTTTGATGTAAATGTTAGAAACCAGAGACGTTGAGCAATGTCCATTGTTTACTTTTAAAACTAATAAAAGATTTTTTTAAAAATAAGTAAAGTCCTACACTTAGGTAAGAAAAACCAAAAGTACACATATAAACTGGGTGAAACCAGGCTTAATAGCAGTGACTGTGAGAGGGATCTTGGAGTCTTAGTGGACAACCAGCTAAGTATGAGCCAGAAGTGTGCAATGGCAGCCAAAAAAGCCAATGCAATCCTAAATTGCATTAACAGAAGGATACAATCAAGATCAAGTGAGGTACTAATACCACTCTATAAAGCCCTAGTAAGACCACACCTAGAGTACTGCATCCAGTTTTGGTCACCACACTATTAAAAAGATGTTGAGACTCTAGAAAAAGTTCAGAGGAGAGCAACCAGAATGATTAGGGGACTGGAGAGTAAAACATATGAAGAACGGTTACAGGAAATGGGCATGGCTAGTCTAGTGAAGAGAAGGACCAGGGGAGACATGATAGCAATGTTCCAATATTTGAGGGCCTGCCACAGAGAGGAAGGGGTCAAGCTATTTTCCAAAGCACCTGAGGGCCAGACAAGGAACAATGGATGGAAACTGATCAAGGAGAGATTCAACCTAGAAATGAGGATAATTTTTCTGACAGTGAGAACAATCAACCAATGGAACAGCTTGCCTTCAGAAGTTGTGGGAGCTTCATCACTTGAGACTTTCAAGAAAAGATTGGATTGCCATTTGTCAGAAATGATGTAGGGTCTCCTGCTTGGGTGGGGGTTGGGGGTTTGGGCTAGAAGACCTATAAGGTCCCTTCCAACTCTGTTCATCTGTTAAATCTGTCAAATGGATAAACTTAGCTATGCTGGAGCTATGTTGGAGAAGTATACACACCCACATATTTTTTGAAACAGAGCATTGACCATATCACATCATATCATATACAATTTATCATATTGAAATGTATTTTACTTTGTTACTGTTTCTGCCAAAGTGTTCTTTTTCCATATTTATTAATCAACTTTTAATTTTTCTTTTTTTATTTCTATAAACAGTATCTTCTTCACCCTCAAATTCTATTTTCCCATTCTTAATCATTTTACATTCTCCTTTAATTTTTTAAAAATAGTTCATTCTTTATCTTGATATAGTTAAATGTTTTCGGGGATGCCTTTCCTCCATTTCCTCTTTTTTGTGTTACAGCAATCTTTCTTCTCTTCCTCTCCCTCCCTTCTTTTATCCTTTCTACCTTCTTCTTCCCTCCTCTCCTATTCCTTCTCTACTTCCCTTTCCTTTCTCCCCCTCCTTCCTTCCTTCCCTCTATCTAACCTTCTCTCCTACTCTTATTTCCCTTTCCTGTCTTCCTCTCCTCTTCCCTTCCTTCTGCTCCTCTCTTTCCTTCTCCCTTCCTTCAATCTCCCTCCTCCTCCTTCTATCTCTCTCTGTTGCTGTTTTTATTTTCAATTCAGTGTTTTTTTATGGTGTCCAGGCATCCCCATTTTTCTTCTCTTTATATCACATATTTCTCAAGATTTCCATCATATTATTAAAATTCTTAACATTATATTTCAACTTATTTCATATTTACCTTAAAATATTTTCAATTTAATTAACTTTCCACCCTTATTTCATTTCAATAGTTATTTTCTTTTTCCCTATCATTTCAATCACTTCCAATTATTTTTACATTTAGACCATTCTACATCTGCTGGTCCGCTTACAACATTATCTAACATTTCAATTTCATTTCTTTCTTTCAACATACATTTTTTAACTTTCATTTCAACTTTATATCTTAATTTCACTGCAGAATTTGAAGAGAAGAAAAAAAAGCATGGTCTTGCTTTCTTTTAACAATGTTTCCTCACAAACCTTAACCATGAAGAAGGCCAATATGACCAACTAACCTAAAGATTTAGTCTGTTGTATTAATAAAATTTCCCATTTCTGTGGCACACTTACTGTATATTCAGGCCAAACCATGCAGAAACACAGGTTTTTTTTAAAAATTTGAGACCAAACTCTGAAATAATGCTTTGTAGATTATTTACTATACTCAGCAGTAATACTAACCTGGTTGAGTTTCTAAGAATTTCTGTCCCTCTACTCCAGGTAATTTTTGGTTTAGGAGCTGCTCTAGGCTTGCACTCAATTATAGCCTGTCCTCCTTTTGCAGCCAAAACCTCTTTCTTCATTGGGTAGAATTCAAAGGTTGGAGGTAAAACTGTGAAGAAAAAATATAATTTCCAAAGAATTTTACAGTAATTAGACAACACAATAACAATTTAAAATACTACAAATTATGCAAATAGATTTCTACTGTACAATAAGCATTTTATACTTTTTTCCACATTCCACAAATCTTTAAATATGTAGAATTCTTCAGATCAAACATGGAGTTTGTATAAGGCTAATGAGGAATCAATTTGTTTTCAATGGAACAATCCCACAGCATAAAATATAATAAACTATCACATATTTATATCTAAATATAAAGCCACTATGGGAAAAAAAATATTCAAATTGTTCAAAAAGAAAAAACGTGGTCATGTGACTCTAAGAACATGCAAACAGCCACAAATACAGGCTGGTTGATGAGCACCTGATATGTGGTCACATGACCAGGGGGCAGCTGATTGTTGTTATTGTATTTTCTACCTAAAATGTTTTATTGGTGGAGCTCCCCAGACTTATGGTGCTGGGGAACTTCAACCTGCCTTCCCTGGGCGGGGTGGCGGGGGTGGCTCGGGAGTTCATGGCATCCATGGCGGCCATGGACCTGACTCAGATTATTCAGGGACTGACTCATGAGGGAGGGCATACACCGATCTTGTTTTCATCTCGGCGCAGTGGTGTGTTATGCTCGGTGGGGGGGTATTTGTCGTTTTCCCCGTCATGGACTGACCATCATCTCCTCCGGTTGGAATTCCAGAATGCCGCCCCACCTTGCTGGGATGCTGTTGTGACTCCGACCCCTGAGCCCGTCTTATCGGAGAGAGAAGACTCCGAAAGTGAAGGAGAGGAGTTGGCAAGGCCTCCCTCTCCAGGACCCTCCTCTCTGGCAATGCCTCAGGTGTCTTCCGAAGGAGAAGAGATACGCCAGGAGCCAGGCATTTCCGAGCAGCCGCAGTTAGACAGCGACGGAGATAAGTCTTGGCTGGATCCCCGACAGTGTTGGAAAGACAAGCACACGCAGCAGAGAAGGGGGCATGCCAAAGATTAAGCTGAGTCACTGGAGCACACCCCACAGGGGATAAAAGGGGGTGTGGTGGCCATTCAGGCTTTGTGACGGACAAAACTGAAAGCTAGCAAGTCATTCTGTATTTCTGGAACTTGCTTGGACTAATTTTTTGGACTGGACTTGACTATTCTTTGGCTTTTGTGGACTTTGATGTTTTTGGTCAGAGGAGATAAACCTCCGTTTGTAAGTAAAAACTATTGGCAAGCAGCCACTGGGTTGCTGCCAATTCTGTTATCAAAGGAAATTCTTGTCTGTTAGTTTATTTTAACTCTTGGTCGACTGCTGGTGTGCGTGTGTGAGACGGGGACAGAACAGATGCGGAACCGACCATCTGTTTCCACCCCAGGCACCTGATGGACCCAGAGAGGTTCCAGACGGAGCTTGGGATGATCCCTCTCTCTCTCTCCCACACCCCGGTCAAGACCTTGGTGGAGACCTGGGATAGGGCGGCCGCTGGGGCTCTCGACCGTGTCGTGCCTTTGAGGCCTCTGACCCGGCGCAGATCCTGGCTTGCCCCTTGGTATACTGAGGAGCTCCGGGGGATGAAGCGCAGGAGGACAGGCCTAGAGAACTGTTGGAGGACTAGTTGTTCCGAATCTGACCGAGCCCATGGTTTTACCTGAAGGCGATGGCGGCGGCGAAGTGTACATACTTCTCCACCCTCATCGCGTCTGCAGATAATCGCCCGGCTGCCCTGTTTAGGGTATCCCGCTCCCTCCTGTATCAGAGGGCGGGGGAGGACCCTTTGCGGGGGCGAGCCGAGGAGTTTAGCCAACATCTGCGGGACAAGATCGCTCAGATTCGGGACAGCTTGGACTCTGACTGGGCAGGGTCGGATGGTGGGGAAGCGGCGGGTCTTGTTGTCTGGGAAGAATTCGATCCTGTTACCCCGGAGGAAGTGGACAGGATCATGAGAAAGCTGAGTGTGACCACTTGCATACTGGACCCATGTCTCTCCTGGCTGGTTTATGCAGCTCGGGAGGTGACACGTAGTTGGATCCAGGCAGTGATAACGGCATCCTTGGATGGAGGGAGTTTTCCCACTGCCTTGAAGGAGGCGGTGGTTAGGCCCCTCCTTAAGAAACCTGCCTTGGATCCAACCATTTTAGGCAACTTTCATCCGGTCTCCAACCTTCGCTTTTTGGCTAAGGTTGTTGAGACCATGGTGGCATGTCAGTTTCTGGTGGCCCTGGATGAAGCAGATTACCTAGATCCGTGCCAATCGGGTTACAGGCCCGGTTACAGCACGGAGACAGCATTGGTCGTGCTGGTGGATGCTCTCTGGAGGGCTTGGGACAGGGGTCATTCCTCGGTCCTGGTCCTATTAGATCTCTCGGCGGCTTTTGATACCATCAACCAAGGTATCATATTGCGATGACTTGAGGGGTTGGGAGTGGGCGGCTACCGTTTTACGGTGGTTTGTCTCCTACCTCTTGGGTCGTACGCAAGTGGTGTTGGCAGGGGGGCAGAGGTCGGCCATGAGGCCCCTCACTTGTGGGGTGCCCCAGGGGTCGGTCCTCTTGCCCCTTCTGTTCAACATTTACATGAAACCGCTGGAAGAGATCATCCATGGTTTTGGGATGGGGTATCATCAGTATGCTGATGATAAGCTTTTTATATCCACCCCGAACCAGCCCAGTGATGCCCTCGACGTGATGTCCCGGTGCCTGGAAGCAGTACGGATCTGGATGGGGAGTAACAGGCTTCAACTCAACCTGGCCAAGGCCGAGTGGCTGTGGATACCGGCATCTCGGGCCGAGCAAGAAGTTCCAATGCTGTCTATTGGGGGCGAGGTGTTGCCCCCCATAGACAGGGCACGCAACTTGGGCATCCTCTTGGATTCATGGCTGAGTTTGGAGGGTCATATCACTGCCGTGACCAGGGAGGCATTTGCCCAGGTTCTCCTGGTGCGCCAGTTGTGCCCATACTTGGACCGAGATGCCCTACACACAGTCAGTCATGCTCTAGTCACCTCCCGGATCGACTACTGCAATGCTCTCTACCTGGGGCTGCCCGTGAAGACCACCCGGAGGCTTCAGCTGGTACAGAATGCAGCCACACGGATTGTTGCGGGAGGGACTCGATACTCCCATATTACACCACTCCTGCACGGTTTGCATTGGTTGCCGGTTGCCCTCCGGGTGAGATTCAAGGTGCTGGTGTTAACCTATAAAGCCCTTCATGGCTTAGGCCCAGGCTATTTGTTGGACCAGCGTCAACTTCCCATCGCCCGGTGTGCTCTTACAGAGAGGGCCTACTCAGGGTGCCGTCGGCTAGACAATTTCGGCTGGTGACCCCCAGGGGTAGAGCCTTCTCTGTGAGCGCCCCCACCCTTTGGAATCAACTTCCCTTGGGGCTCCGGTTGGCCCCTGACCTCCGCCGTGAATTGAAAACCTGGCTATTTATGTCCCCCGGCTTGGACTGATGGGGTAGTATATTTTAAAGTTTTTAAAAACTTTTTAATTTTTGTGTGTATATTTGTTGTTTTTAACAGTCGCTTGGTCGATTGTCGTTGTAAAACGCCCCGAGTCCTCGGAGATAGGGCGGCATACAAATTTTATAAATAAATAATAAATAAAATAATAATGTAGTATAATATACTTACCAATAACTTTTAATTCAGCATTTGAATAAATCATTCCATGTATATTTTCTGCTACACATTGATACATGCCTGAATCTTCAAGCTTCAGACTAGAAAATCTCAATTCTCCTTTCCAATACTGTGAGTAAAACACATAGTAAAAATAGATAATGATAAATTTCAAGATAATAATGATTGTTGTTTGATTTTTTTCTTCTCCTTACATCTTACCCTACCTTAATTTTTTAAGGCAAACATAGATTTTTTAGTTTGGTTTCATTGGATAACAGCTTTTGTCAGACTTGCCCCAATCTGATACCTTAGGAAAGAAAAACCTTCAATTCCATTTGGTTAAAGCAAAGGGTTCTTTTACTAAGAGTGGTGGTTGCAATAAAGTCAAGCCAGCTCTGACAGTACCTCACTTGGTGAATACAAAAATAAGATAAAGTCCATTTCCAATCCGTTTCCAGCCAACCAGAGCTCGCCAAGATGTTTTGAAACTCTGGGATGTTTGGAGAGTAATACACATTTTTCTCAGGGTGCCTGTCCATGGGATGCTGGTACAAACAGGAACCGGCTGCTATGGTCCTTCTCATCTGTCATTCCCCCCTCCCGATTTCCTATCATGTACACACAAAGGTTTATTGTCCTTTCATCCTTCCTTCTTTCATCCTTCTCCCCTTCTTCCCCCTTTCATCCTACCCCCCCCCATTTTCTTTTTATGGCAGGATGCCTGTGAGCCCCTCCCCCCAAGCCGAGCCAGGCAATCTGATATTCTTCCCCCCTTGACAGTGACATTAGTCCTGCAAAAAGGAAAAGAGAGGGGAGGGAGAGATACACAAAATTTCCCAATTAATAGGCAGTCCAATGCAGCTTATTTAGGTAATGGTCATGGATTTTTAAAGCAATCTGGAGGCTTTAATATGTTGGGAGTCAACCCATTCAGTTTCTGAGGGGAGAAATCTTTCCAGACTACCAAATACTAAGTTTTTCCCTGATGTATGTGAGAGTCCAAAATGTCTTTGATTTCAAAGTGCTGCTCTTCCTTGATCATAATGGGGTTGGGAGGTGCTTGCAATTTGTGACACAGAGAAGATGTGATTTCTGATTTCAGTAGGCTACAATGAAATACCAAGTGTACACATCTGAACATTTTTGGCAGCTCAAGTTCTACAGTTATGGGTTAATAATCCTCTTGATGGGGAAAGGTCCAACGTATTGTGGCACCAATTTCTTTGACGGTTGTAGATTGTAGGAATTTGGTAGAGAGATAGACCTTGTCTCCCACCTTAAAGTCCTTTGGCTTGATGCACTTTTTATCAGCCTGTTTTTTGTATGTTTCCCTAGCTTCATCCAAAACTTTTCTCACCACTGGCCAGGTGTTCTATCCTGGGGCAACCCAATCTATCAGCGATGCAGTCAATGGGGTGACCTGAGGTAGTTCAGGGATAGATACAGAGGTGGTATTCAGCCGGTTCTGACTGGTTCTGGTGAATCGGTAGCGGAAATTTTGAGTAGTTTGGAGAACCGGCAAACACCACCTCTGGCTGGCCCCACCCCTAATCTATTTGCTACCTCCTGAGTCCCAGCTGATTCCCAGTTGATCGGCTGGGTCTTCTTTGGTTGCCCTGCACAGGAGAATGGAGCTGGAAAGCAGGTTAGTTGGGTGGGGAGGGAATGGTGATTTTACAGTATCCTTCTCCTGGAGTGGGGTGGGAATGGAGATTTTACAGTATCCTTCCCCTGGAGTGGGGTTGAAATGGAGATTTTACAGTATCCTTCCCCCTGGAATGGGGTGGAAATGGAGATTTTACAGTATCCTTCCCCCTGGAGTGGGGTGGAAATGGAAACTTTACAGTATCCTTCTCCTGGAGTGGGGTGGAAATGGAGATTTTGCAATATCCTTCCACTGCCATGTCCACCAAGCCACACCATACCCATCAAGCTATACCCACAGAACCGGTAGTAAAAATTTTTGAATCCCACCGCTAGATAGATACCAAGACTTGTCCTATGGCCAGTTTAAATGGAGTGTACCCGGTGCTACTGTGCACTGAGTAGGCAATCTCCATGAAAGAGAGGATGCCCACCCAATTGTCTTGTTGGTAATTAATGTATCATCTGAGGTACTGTTCCAGGACGCCTTTGGCCCTTTTGCAGCCCATGTTAGTAGCCAGATGATGAAAGAATATGAGCCCCTGAGTGGTCCCCAAATGTTTTAGGAAATCCTGCCAAAGCCACCAATTGGACTCCGCAATATGAGATGATTGTTTCTGGAGCACCATGCAGCCAATAAATGTGCTGCACAAATAGTTTAGCCAAAGCATGTGCTGAGGGGATTTTTTGACAGGTATAAAGTGCACTTCCTTGGAGAACAGATTGGTTATCACCCAGATCACTGTATTCCCCGAACATTTGGACAGTTCTACAATAAAATCCATTGATAACTCTCTCCATGGGACTTTGGGCTCTCTACTGGCTGGAGAAGCCCGGGTATTTTCCCTTGTCGCCTCTTGGCAGAAGCACAAATGGGGCAGCTAGCCACAAAGCTCTCTATGTCCTTTTTCAGTGATGGTCACCAAAATTGCTGCTTGATTAGGTGTAGGGATTTTACGAAGCCAAAGTGCCCTGCCACTTTTAAATCATGACTTTTTTGTAAAACCAAGTGATACTGTCAATCAGTTGGGAGAAGGGGGAGACTTGGATTCGATTTACTAGCATTGCCTGTGTCAACAGATATTTTACAACCTATATCCTGGCACCAAAGAGCCCTGAGATCCTCTTAACGTGGAGGAATGTTTATGATAGCCATGTGGGTTGTTTCACTTTAAAGGATAACGGTGTGAATGCATGTTTGTTCGGGTTCTCAGGGAAACTAGTAAAGAAAACATCTTCACACTTGTGTATTGGCTAAAATCTGCATTCTGACTTAAAGGGAGGGGTCTCTACTGCTTTAACTTGTCTTGCCTAAGGGTATTCAGATCTTGCTTTAACTGGGTTGCTATCACTTCTGCTTAATAAAAGGATCCTTTTGAACTATCACATTTCAAAAGTCTTTACTTTCTTGCATTCCCAAACAAAAAGTGTGTGGATTCACTGGAAATGTTGCAAATGGAGTTTCAAATTAGATTTAAAGAGCTTCGTGCACATGAACAGGACATACAGCTTTTCCGGAACCCATTTTCTGTTGACATCGAAATTGTTGATCCAATTTACCAAATGGAACTGGCTGAACTACAGAATTGTGACTCTCTGAAAGACACATTCAAGTCAAACAGCCTTACTGATTTCTATGCATCTCTCCCCTCTGAGACATATCTTCATCTCAGGAACCATGCACTCAAAATGGTAACCATCTTTGGCAGCACCTATATCTGTGAACAGACTTTTTCCCGAATTAAACAACTGAAATCTCCAACCAGATCCAGACTAACTGATGAATACTTGCATCACTTGTTACGACTGGCAGTGATAAATATGGAACCGGACATTGACTTTCTCATCAGCCAAAAACAGGCCCACACTTCCCATTGAATTAGTATATTTTTGTTGGTTAAAATCGTTCTTCATTTTAAATATTGTATTATTTAACTTTTTTTGCACTACAAATAAAGATATGTGCAATGTTCATATAAGTTTGTTTATGTTTGTTTCAAACTATAGTCTGGACTCCAACAGTTTGAGGGACCATTATCCCTCCTTAATTCACAATTGGATGCTTGGGGTGTATGTGTGTGTGTGTTGATTCTCGCCTTCTGCCTGCTTCCAATGTCTCTCAATGCTCATCTTGGGGGTTTTAGTTGCAGTCTTAATTGCTGCAGTTCTCAGTCTTGTTTATTGTGTGGTCATCTGAAACATGATCAGGAGTCATTTTGAAGGAAATCCTGTTTGTTTTATTCCTTTTTCAATGGACTATTTTAAGGAACCTGAAGCTGCTGTTGTAATGAAATTAGGCAAGTGGCAAGAAAGTTTTTTTCCCTTTGGGGGGTGGTTCTTATTAAGTAAATAATAAGAGGAATAATAATAATTCCTTGGCTTGAGCAAGAACAGCTTAGGAAGGAGAAAGACATAAAATGGACAGTTAAATTGGCCACATCCACCCAATCACATGACCGCCTAGCCATGCCCCCCCCCCAGCCAGTTCGGCCCCCCCAACAGTCTGAGGGACTGTGAATCGGCCTCCTGTTTAAAAAGTTTGAGGACCCTTGCCCTAGAAGATAGGCTCAAGATTCAGATGGATCTTGACAGACTTGAACACTGGGCCCTATTTAACAAAATAAAATTCAATGTAGAGAAAAGTGCCTTACACTTAGGCATGAAAAACCAAAAGGCCACCCCAGGCCACCCCAACGATGCCCTTGAAGTGATGTCCCAGTGCCTGGAGGCCGTGCGGGCCTGGATGGGGGGAAACAGGCTCCGACTCAACCCTTCCAAGACCGAGTGGCTGTGGCTTCCAGCGTCCCGATATAGCCAGCTGGTGCCATCGCTGGCTATTGGGGGCGAATCACTGGCCCCCATGGAGAGGGCTCGCGACTTAGGCATCTTCCTGGATGCACGGCTGTCTTTAGAAGAGCACATGACGGCCGTGGCCAGGGGGGCTTTTTATCAGGTTCGCCTGATACGCCAGTTGCGCCCCTTTCTGGATCGGGACTCCCTACGCACGGTCACTCAAGCACTCATCACTTCCCGCCTGGACTACTGCAATGCTCTCTACATGGGGCTCCCCTTGGGGTGCACCCGGAGCTGCAGTTAGTCCAGAATGCGGCCGCGCGGGGGATTATGGGAGCGACGGGGCGCTTACATATGACACCTCTCCTGCGCGAGCTGCACTGGCTTCCTGTGGTCTTCCAGGTGCGCTTCAAGGTGTTGGTGACCACCTTTAAAGCACTCCATGGTTTAGGGCCGGGGTATCTGCGAGACCGCCTTCTGCCGCCAATAGCCTCCCACTGACCGGTTCGCTTGCACAGAGAGGGCCTCCTTAGGGTGCCGTCGGCCAGACAGTGCCAGCTGGCGACCCCCAGGGGGAGAGCCTTCTCTGTGGCAGCACCTGCCCTCTGGAATGACCTACCCCCTGAGATACGCACAATATCAGACCTCCGGACTTTTCGTCGGGCCCTGAAAACACACTTATTCCATCTA